TAAGGAGAAAATATATATTGTTTAGTCGTTGGTAGGAGTGTTAGGCATTTTATTCCTAAATCTATCGTATGGAAATCACTCTATATCTGTAGATGCAAACTTTTGCTTACTGTAATCTAACTTAATGTTTCTTTCAGCAGAAAATGAAACATCCCTGTGAATGAGCAGAATAAACGAACACGGAAGAGTTCTTTGGCTTGTGAAAATATGTAGTCTTTCATTTATCAACCAGTAGAAAAGAACACAGCTGATTTCTAAAGTTGGTATTTTGTAACTCATGAACAAGTAAGCTGATTTTGAAAAACAGTATTCTTAATTCAAATAGTAAAGCCTGATATCAGATATAACAGTAACCATAGATGCTCACTGGGTATATGAGTCTAAGAATAATATATTTTCTCCTACCTGCATAAACTAAGGGGAAATTGATTTGAAAGCTTTCAGTCACAATTCCCTGTGTTTCTGAACTTCAACTGTGGTCTGTTTAAACCATTGCTTCTTAGCTACATTTCCCATTGTGCCTGACCTGGTCAGATCCAATGTAAGATCTGTGCTAAGCCTGTGCGATGTTGTAATCTGATAAGTCAAGACTGAATCTGTTAGTTCCATGTTACCATTTCAGATAATTGTGAGTTAGGTTTCAAGCTATATGACTAAATATATTATTGTGAAGGTTACAGTGAGTGATATTACTAGTAACAGAAGTGGTGAACTTAAAAAAAGGAACAATTGACTGTAAAAATATTTAATTTTACAATGGGATGGGTTAATTTTATTTAATGGAGATAGTTGGTGTCTTCCAACTATGTGGTTGGATCATTTGTTGTAGCATGACAATGGTGGCTCATTTATTTCGCCTACTATAGAAGAAAGTTATCGGACTAAATTTTACTTCAGTTTTTATTTGCTTGTGTCATCTAACACATGATGATGGTGATCAGCCATATTCGTGTATGTAAGTCTTCAATTTTATTCTTAAAATAAATCATTGGCAATATGAAGGTTTCATACTATCATTAATTATATTCAAGCTGTAGATCTTATTTACTAATGATAGAAATGACACCCTACCTGCATAGATTATGTACAGTACAATTTTGACTCAGGACTGAAGCAGTACTTGAGATTTTCCTGTGAACCACAAAACTAGCCGACGCCTGTAGCCTACTGCAAATCTATCCCATATGGTTACTGTATGGTTCAGTATGTTATGTAAACTCAAACAATTTAGTTGGGTAACACAGACACAATCACAGAGTAGTTTTACTATATAGCACAGGAACCAGAGGAAGAATGCTTTCCATTACAGGTTTTTTTTTTAAAGCAGACTATTTTCTCCAGTGCGCTTGCATGCAACACCAAAGAAAAGCAACTTTTCCAGAATTACAGAACCTAAAAAGGTATTGCAATAATATCTGCACTCTGGTTTTTTAGATTCCACTATAATAGCCAAGGCAGGAATCATCTGCATTTTGTAGAAATTGTTCCATTGTTGCCAAGTGGACAGCTCATGGGGGAAAAAAACAATTCAGAAAGAGAAGGTTTCTGATGTATTAGTCCCAAGCTGCTATCAGCAATTCTTCAGAATTACTACAAAACACCTCTTCCTTGTAGAAAAGAATATTATCAGTTAATAGAGCAGTATAAAAATATAAGGACTTAATCTACACTCAGATTATTATGGGAAAATAGAAGTGCTGAATGAAATATATGAATTCTTTCTTGATTCGTGCTTCCATTAGATACCACCACTGTACTCTTAAACCAGAACTGTGCCAAACTGGGACTCCCTCGATCCCCAGTATTTCCCTTAGAATGGAAGTTCTGTTTTATATCTGACAGGGTTCAATGCAGAGATACAGTGTATTATTAATGGCCATTTGAAAAGGACTCTGACACTGATTGGAACTTAATTTAAAATGGGGGAGTCAGTGAAGGTGTTCAGTGCAGCTGCAGAATTGCCTCAGGTTCTGAGAAAAGCCAGTTTCAGTTTAAAGTTTAGGCATGTGGGGAAACAGCAAACAGGAGTATTACCCAGGCCAAAAAAAACACAACAACCTAGGCACCGAAATCCCACTTACAGATCTGGAGATCATAAATCAAAGACAAAACTACTTGAGGAGGGCACAGTGGCAACAGCAGCCAGGAAAGGAGACTGCATTATAATTTAGATTTATATCCCATCTTTCATTTGTTCATAATGTTTCTTCCTATTTTTCCCACAACAACCCCGTGAGACATAATTAACTCTCTACATTACAAGAGTAGCAGGGAGGCTCCTCATGATTTTAAGATTGGAATGTTTATAAAACACATTTGCTAGAATCTTACAGTAATTTTGTTTGTAGAAACAACATGCACATGCCCTTCAAATGGAGGACTTGCCTCAGTAAGGTTCAACAAATCCATATAAAATGTAGTATGTTTTATTCTTTTGGAATGCACCCGTACGTCAGAATGTTTTATTGTTATTAGTAACAGTACCTTGAAGAAAAAAGCTAGTCAATTGGTCCTTTATGCATCTGCAATATACTGAAGAATAAAAATAATGGTAATACAGAATTGTAATAATACAATCCTGATATATAAAAGCACAGCAGACGTGGAGAATCTTTTCTCTGCAAATTCATATAGAAATCTGAATACAGAAAACCTTTTCATGTGCAGCACGTAAATCTTTACATCTATATAGCATCCATGAAATTTGGCATATCTACTTTCCATTTGCAGTACTGAACATTCGTTCCTAAGAAGAAGGAGGAAAAATAAAAAGTTACTAGGTAAACTGGTCGAAGACATTTTAAGAAATCATTGCCATTTAATCTAGAACGAGAGATTGGCAAAGATAGCAAGCTTCCACCAGACTGAAATCCCATAGGATTTCATTTATTTAGGGATGGAGGTACTAAGGCCAGTGCAGAAGAACATGTGATAGCACCAAGGCCAGAAAATACTGACAAGTTATACACAGTTTAGCATATATCAATTTTGAATTCATATACCTGCAATCTCTTTAAATTTCAAGTTGGAAGGCTATAAATAGTAAAGTTATTAATACAGGGAAAGGAGAAATGAGTTTCATTTTGATTTCCTTTGAGCAGAAGTAGCTCATCTGGTTGTAATTCCTATCTGGTTTACCCCGTGAGGCCAACATCAATCTAACCAGATGAAGGACAGTGGTACCTCGGGTCACGAATGCTTCTGTTCACGACCAATTCGGGTCACGAACAGCACCGTTCGCAAAATTTTGCTTCTGGCCGAGAACGCCGCTACAGGTCCCGAACAGAATCCGCGGCCATTTTCCCTCCCGTGACGCGTGGTCGTGGCTTCCTGTAGGGAGGGGGACTCTCCCTC